ACTTTATTTAGTTATTTATTTAAATTTGACCAGAGAGGGTCAAAGTGAGAGAGAGAGAGACAGAAAGAGAGAAACTGAGAAAGCAAGCCGCCAGGTCCAGGATTTGAACCATGCTGGGCCATGTGGGAGTCCAGTGCCTTTAAGCACCACACCACCTGTCAGCCCCCGTCCCTCTTTTCATGATTTGGGGCATGTGTGTACATGTGTCCAGTGTGTTTCTCAGACTGCCGGGTCTGGGACCAGCTATATGGGATCCAGTGGCCTCAACCACCAGGCCATGGGCTGACTCCTCTCCCATCTTACACTCCGTCCCTTTCTCTCTGTATCATCGCCCCATCTGAGAGTAAAACGTCCTACTAGGCCAACCCTAGGATCTGCCCCATGGGCAGTGACAGGTTGTGGACAGCCGTGGTGATCCTCCCATCACTTCAAAGGGTGGGGGGCTAGCCCCAGCTCCCCTTCATCCCTCTTCCAATATGTCTGTCAACCACAAATCTATTTATGATTTAAGCCTGCATCACTTCTTGAAGTTTCTAGACGCACTGCTTCCTGCTCACATCCTTCCTGGATTTTGGTAACAAGTCAGTGTCAGACGACCTTTCCTTCACGACTTACAGGCCTTGGGGGACACCTCTGCAGACCCGGTCTTCCCATACGGAAGAGGCCACTGCGGCCTATTTTCCCAGAGCAGCCCACCCTGGCATTCCTCCTGGGGGCTGAGTCAGGAATGCACAGAATCCCACCTGTATCCCGGTTTTCCCTTAGGACAGATAAAGTGCACATTTGTTACTGGGTGCGTGTGCATGCTCAAAGTCCCGAGAGGTGAAGGGATTGTGGTGTGGCTATCCTCCTGGGGGGCTGCTTTCTCACCTTTCCTTTTTCTCTCTCTCTCCAGCAAGCACACGGGCCCTACTGCAAATTAAGAAAGAAAGGGGAGGGCCACCAAGCAGCTGGCATGGTGGTTAAGGGCACTGGACTCCCACATGGTCAACCACAGTTCAAGTCCTGGACCTGACAGCTTGCTTAATCACTTTCTTTCTCTCTCTCTCTTTCTCTCATTCTGTACCTCTCTGGTCAAGTTAAAATAAATAAAGTTAAATAAAATTCATTTAAATATTATTTTTAAAAAAGGAAGGAAAATAAGTAGACATTTGTTTTCACTTAAAAAAAAAAAGTTTTCTTAATTATTATTATTTAATTTGACCAGAGAGAGAGGGAAAGTGAGAAAGCAAGCCACTAGGTTCAGGACTCAAACTGCAGTCAGCCATGTGGGAGTCCCGTGCCCCAACTTCCACACCACCTGCCAGTCCCTCACTTTCTTTTCTAAGGAAGTCTGGGTTCCAGGCCAAGGTACTGGTTCTTTTCCTTTTTTTTTTTTGAGAGGTGTTTTTTTTTTTTTTTTTTTGCTATAGGGTGTGTGTGTGTGCTCACTGGGGACAGAGACAGACAGTGAGAAATCACCTCCTGGGGGGATGGCCATACTGCAATCCCTTCTCCATTCTCCTCTCAGAATTGTGGGCACACACGCACACGTGCCCAGCGTGAGTTTCAAGCCTCTGGGTCTTGGACTCAAACCGCAGTCAGTGATCTGGGAGTTCAGCGAAGTAACCATCATGCCAACTGCTGGCCCCACTGTTCCACACCTTCTATCCCTTCATCCTCAGTCCCCGCAGAGCCCCCACCTCATCGCACCCTGACTCCCTCTGCCTCAGTGTCCCCTCTTCTCTTGCAGTGAGTTTCCTGCGCAGTGGCACTAAGCTCATCTTTCGCCGGAGGCCTCGGCAGAAGGAAGCGGGTCTGAGCCAATCTCACGATGACCTCTCCAACACGACGGCCACCCCCAGCGTCCGAAAGAAGGCAGGCAGCTTTTCTCGCCGCCTTATCAAGCGTTTCTCCTTCAAATCCAAACCCAAGGCCAATGGCAACCCCAGCCCCCAGCTCTGAGGGCCCTCCTCACCTCTGGAGCTGGGAGAGGGCAAGAGCGCTCTCAGTTCATTCCCATGTCCCTTCCATCCCCCTTTCTGGATTCCCAGTGCCTGGGCCGGGAAAGCCCTCTGGATCCAGAAAGCCCTGTCCACCCTGGGCCGCGGGGCGGCTGGAAGGGCACTTGCAATGGGACGCGTATCAGAGGTGGGCACCCGTTGCTGAGGACACGGAAGAGAGAGCTGGTGGCTGGGAGTTAGGAGGAGGGTTCTGCCTGGCATGTGCGGGAGTCCCTCCATGTGTTTGTCTCCTGCTGACACTGGCCTCGAAGGGGCCCAGGGTGCTCAGGCCCCAGCTGATCCTTTCTCCCTTATTTATTCTCTTTTCTATTTATATGTGTGGTCTAGGACCCTCAATGAACAGGTGATAGAGGGCATCTCTCCCAGGTGACCCTTTTCTGTCCCACGAGGGTAGGCAATTCCCTTCAGGATGGGGCTCCCACACCTCCCTCAGGTCCCCACTCAGACCAGCACCGATGTCCGCCTCAGAGGACACTGGCGGCTCACAGAAAGCCAGGCCAGTGCCCGGGATGGGGGGCAGGTACTCCCCACCTCCCTGCCTTCCCTCTGCTCCTCATCCCCGGCCCCCTTTGTTACCACTTTTGTACTTGATGCCTTCTCCATTGGCAGCGGCTCTGCTGGAAGGGGGAGCCAGGAGCCTGGTGGGAAGCCTTCCCCAGAGAGCTGGCTTTAGGGCCTTCATTTATGGACTGCGTGATGACGGAGCGAGAGCAAGGCTGCACCTCTGTGTTGGGAGATGACGATGTCCATTGCTGTGTGATGGCTTGGAATTTAATTTATTAAATTAAAGTCAAACTGAAGTTTATCAACTGAACATGTGTTCATCTTTTGAAAGGCAGATAAGTAGCAAGGCTATGTTTTTTTTTTTTTTTTTTTTTTCAGATAAGTAACAAGGCTATGTTTTTTTTTTTTTTTGAGAGGGTTTTGCTATAGGACACATGTGCTTGTCAGAAAAACAGAGAAAGACAGAGAGATAGAAAGCGAGAGATCACCCCTTAGGGGGGATGGCTACGCCACAATCCCTTCTCCATTCTCCTCTTGGGATCTTGGGCACACACGCACACACGCCTGGCTGGGTTTAAGCCACCGAGTTCGGGACTCAAACCGCAGTCGACTACACAGGAGTCCAGCGACATAGCCATTACACTAATTGCTGGTTCCAAGGCTATTTTGATAGAGGAGGAAACATCAGAGATCAGAGTCCAGAGACAAGAGGTTGGGAGGATGACACACATGGGTTGGCTCAGAAGTTCCTGCAACAGGAGAGACAGGAGTCTGTGAAAATGAAGCAGCAAACACATCAATGCGCCTTCACCCCCCTTTCTCGAACAGCCTGCTCCTGCTGGGATATAAGGGAGTTCAGACACAGAATCTGGACCAGGCTGCCAGCTCCACTGATTACTGGTGTGACTTTGGGCAAATCCTATCATCTGAGTGCCTCCGTATTCTCATCTGTAAAATGGGGACCGTGACCACTGTTCAGTTGTGGGTGAGAAAGAACTGAGTCAAGTGCTTAGAACTCTGCCTGGCATAGAGTCAGTGCTAAGTGTTAAGTATCTTTTTCTTGTTGTTTAGTAAGTGTTAACTATTGCCTCAGAGGAGACAGGGTGGGAGGGGAGTCTTATAAGCATTTCATCACAATGAAAACCTTATACTCCTAAATGTGGGCACATCTTAGGGAAGCAGAGATACTAGCAAGCTGGACATCCCTGGGTCCTTTCTTCTGGGGCCTGATGCAGGACTGAGCCAGGTTAGCTGCTGTAGGAGGTCAGAGCATTGGACTAGAGGGAGGACAACTGAGTCGGCTACAAACACAAGTGACCTTGAGCAAGTCACTTCTCTTTCCTGCACCTCAGCTTCCTCATTGCTAAGGTAAGGGTGGCCTGAATAATCATTCGGGTCACTTCCATCCTTGGCATTTATGACTTACTGTATCACAGAGGGTTAAGGCCCATGTCGGTGATTAGACAGCATGGAATTATAAATATGTCTAATGTTTCTGTCCACCCTAGTCACAGAATATAGGATATTAAAAGAGTGGCACAGGGTCTGGAAGGTGTAGTGGTGGTTAAGGCACTGGACTCCCACATGGTTAGCCATAGTTCAAATCTCAGACCTGGCAGCTTGCTTTCTCACTTTTCCTCTCCCTCTCTCTGGTCAAATTAAAATAATAATAACAAGTAAAATTAAATAATTCTGTTTTTTTTAATTTTTTTTAAAGAAAAAGAGTGGCAGGAGGCTAGCAGGTGATGTGGACGTTAAGGTCCTGGATCCTACATGGTTGACTGTGGCTCAAGTTCCACTAGCAGCTTGAAAATCATGCTGAGCATGTGTGTGCCCAAAATCCCAAGAGGAAAATGGAGAATGGATTGCAGTGCGGTCATCCCTCAGGGTGTGTGTGTGTTTGTGTGTGTGTGTGAGATTTCCCACTTTCTCTGTCTCTCTCTTTGGCGAGTGCATGCAGTGCGGTCATCCCTCGGGGTGTTTGTGTGTGTGTGTGTGAGATTTCCCACTTTCTCTGTCTCTCTCTCTTTGGCGAGTGCATGTACCCTAGAGCCCCCCCCCCAAAAAAAAATCACAATTATAGTTGTTTGGTTAGTATTTACATAGTGAAACACTGAACTTTAGGTCATGAAATCCCAAAGACAGTTTGAAGCTGAGAAAATGCAATTTTAAGTCATGAAAACCCAGAGTCCCAAATCTAAGAAACAGATCTTAGTGGTTCGCCAATGAGCAATTTGTTTACCAATCCACACAACCAAACACACTGAACTGGTAATTGCATGAGAAATTTTTGTTGATGGGAGGGCGGGTTTTCAGATTCCCACTGCGCTCAGGGACCGAGTAAATGATAACTAGAACTGTCCTCAGCTTCCAGTACTGAGTTGCTTAGAGTTCAATGGAACCACATACTTCATAGTGAAGAGCATGATCATGTTTCAAAAATAGGAATTTTAAAAATAAATGAAAAAGAAATAGTTTCAACTTTATCCATTTCACACTTTCAGAAGAGATCCACAGCTTTTAATGAGTGGAAATTATGCTTTTAAGCTTTTGTGACAGCATTTAAAGAACAAATCTCAAGATATGTCTGAATTATCCAGCCAAAATTGTGGCTTGTTTTCAAGAGAAGCAGATTGAGATGGAAATAAACTATGCTAGACAGTGAGACACTGCCTTAAATATTGGAAACATATATACGGGTCCCAAAGTGATCCTGAAATTTTTCCTCTGTAACCTACATTTGAGTTTACATTTTGTGAATGAACTTTCTCTTCATAAAATTGCTAAAATAAAGCTAAGAGCCATTTTCAGTGTAAATGTGAATTAAAATGAGGTTGGCATTTCATGAAGTACTATTATAACTATGTACTGGTGAATGAAGAAAGTTGATTAAATCTATTTTGTTACTTTTGAATCATATATACATATACATATGTATATATATAATTTTTTTTTAAGAGAGATTTTTGCTATACGGCACGTGTGCTCACTGGAGACACAGAGACAGAGAGAAAAAGTAAGAACCACCCCCCGCCGCCCCCCGGGGAATGGCCACACTATAATCCCTTCTCCTCCATTCTCCTCTGGGGATCTTGGGTATATACACACAGGCGCCCAGCATGAATTTCAAGCTGCTGGTCTGGGTCTTGAACCATAGCTATGTGGGAGTCCAATGCTACACCACTACGCCACCTGCTGGTCCCTTAAATTATATTTAAAAAAATAGTATACAGGCTTTAATTCCCTGTTAAAAATAAATTCCATGGGGGCCAGCAGGTGGTGTGGTGATTAAGGCACTGGACTCTCACATGGCTGACCACAGGTCACATCCCAGACCTGGTGGCTTACTTTCTTTTTTTCTGAGAGGTTTTTGCTATAGGGCACGTGTGCTCACCACAGACAGAGACAGACAGAAAGCAAGAAATTGCCTCTGGGGGGATGGCCACGCTGCAATCCCTTCTTTTCCATTCTCCTTTCGGGATCTTGGGCACACACGCGCACACGCCCAGTGTGAGTTTAAGCCACTGGGTCCGGGACTCGAACTGCAGTAGACCACATGAGTGTCCAGTGACATAGCCATTATGCCAACTGCAGGTCCCCTGGTGGCTTACTCTCTCACTTTCCCTTTCTCTGGTCAAATTTTAAAAATAATAATAATAGCAAAATATAAAAAAAAATTTCTTTAAAGAGTGAAGATTTAAAAAAAAATAAATTCTATATACACATTTCTGCTCTTACTACGACTTTACTTTCTTTTTCTTTATTCATGATAGAGCATGTGTGAGCATCCTCTACAGGGTCTGGCCACGCTGTGATCCCCTTCCTCCAGTCCTCCAGTCTATCAGATCCTGGGCACTCATGCCTGTGCCCAGAGCATTTCAAGCTTATTGGGCTGCAGATTCAAACTTTGGTGGCCGAGTGGAATCCAGCTTCTCTTGAGCAGCAATTACCACTGCACCAGCCAGCCCACATCTTCACTATTTTTAATGATAACTTTTAATTTCTTTCTTTCTCTTTTTTGCTATAGGGAATAAGAGAGAGAGAGAGAGAGAGAGAGAAAGAGAGACCTGGAGAGAGATAGAAAGAGAGAAATAACCCCTGGGGATGGTGAAGCCAGTCCCTTTCTCTCCATTCTTCTCTTGGGATTCTGGTTACACATGCACCCAGTATGAAAATACTCCCCCGGGTCTGGACTTGAACTGCACAGCTGGCCATGTGGAATCCAGTCACCTTAACCACAATGCCACTGGCAGGCCCAATTTATTTTTTTTACATTATACATTTAGTGTGTTTTCTGATTATGTGAGTTACATAGGCTTATTTTCAGATGAAAAAAATACAGAAACTGTAATACAATAAAATACCAATCCTAATGAACTTTACTAAGGTACATAATGAATTTTTTTTTTTTATTGGAGAGGTTTTTTCTATAGGGTGCGTGCGCTTGCCAGAGAGAGAGAGACAGAGAGATAGAAAGCGAGAAATCATCCCCCAGGGGGAATGGCCACGCCACAATCCCTTCTCCTCCATTGTCCTCTTGGGATCTTGGGCACACATGCACATGCACCTGGCGTGAGTTTTAAGACACCGGGTCCAGGACTCGAACCGCGTTTGACTACGTGGGAGTCCAGCGACATAGCCATTACGTTAACTGCTGGTCCCAAGGTACATAATGAATTTAACAAATATGTCTTGAATCCTATTACAATGCCTGTCCTGCCTCCCTGAACTAGTCTTGTGGAACGCAGACTGATAAAGAGGCAGGCAAATACAGTGCAATGTGATAAGAGCCGTCAGGAAGACTTCTTGGAAAAAGAAGCACCTATATTGACATCAGAATGAACAAACACCAGTTAAATAAGTGTGTGATGGGGAGACAGGAAAATTATTCCAGATAAGTAAAAGACATAAGAGGTAAAAGGCAGCTTGATGTGGTAGAGAAACAGAAATTTAGGGCTGGGACTTGGCAGTATCAAGCGGTGAAACCTCTGCTCTGCAGCTGGCCCACATGCAAAGGTTTCCAGTTTGCTTCCAGAGATTCCATGAGTATGCTGGGCACACTGTACCAAAGACCTATACTGGCTGAGGCTGAGGGTAGACTGCAGCATCAAGACCCTGACTATCTCACTCATGAATGTAATAAGTTTCAAAACAAAACAAAACAAAACAAAACAAAACAAAAACGGGGACCACAGTGCAGGAAATAAGGCTGAGAAGAATTCAAGATACACTGGAGGAAAAAGCAGGGCCCAGGTGATAGAAAGGCCCAGGGTCTAGAAAGCCTCAGGATGATGGTTTTAG